AAAACCTGGACTTATACAATGTATAATATTGTTCATATACCTTTCCTGAGCTTTGTATTTAGAATAAAATTCAGGTTGTTCAGTAAGGAATCTCATGTTTTGTTTGCTCAGCTGGCGGGAGTCACACTGCCATATGACACACCGGATGAGGTGAGGAGAAGGCTGGAAGAGGTCTCTCCTAACCTGGTGAGATATGATGATGTAGAGGAAGCCAATTATTTCAAACAGGCCCATGAGCTTTCAAAGGTTAGTGTTCTTCTTCTTTGTTCTTCTGTTTTTGTTTTAAATCTGCACTAATTACATAGTTCAGTAATGTCCTCCTGTTCTCCTTAGGCTGTGAATCAGTCATTGCTTGCAGCTCCTCTTGTCCCCCCTCAGCTCACAGTGAAGGATTTCTACATGACAGGTAGAGTAACAAATATATATTGTTAGTTTTTACAAGTTCTTATGTGTGAATAGAACGCTGTAACCTAGTGTATGTCTTCGAACCTGTAATTTACCATTGCCTTCGATTGTCTTCCTCCACAGACCCCATCAGCAGAGCCTCTCAGACAATGGCCAAGTGTGTGAAGGCTGTGACAGAAGGAGCAGCAGCAGTTGATGAGCCCTCAATTTGTTAAAACTCTTTCAGGCATACACAAAAGTACACAAAATAGTCATCGTCAAGTACATGTACAACCACATACCTGGATTTCAGCATATTTTGCTGTTTGTCTCCCATCTCTTACATAGTCAGACTTCACCAGAGGAGCAAAAATGTGTGAAATTAATCTTGCTCATATTTAATAGGCTTTGAAGGGTGTTGTAAAGTTTTCATTCCCATAATTTGGCTGAATGAGGTCTGCTTTGTTTTGGAAAGCTCTTATTATGATAAATAAAAATGTATTATATCAATATACTATTGTCACCGTTGACATCGCTGGTATAAATTATTCAAAGCAAGGGCACAGTAGAAAAAATTCTGTTTTGGTTCATTTAGAATCTGGGATGGAAGTGTAAGGAGAAAAAGCATCTTGATTGGAATGTTGTTGGATTAAGTGCAATGTAAAGCCTAGTTGTTGAATTAATCTTAAATTTCACCCATTATATTATTTTAAATTACATTAAATTGCAAAGTAGTGGATTACGATGAGTTCCACTTTAATGATTAAACTTTTAACATACCCTAAAGTTTAACAACTTTGTATACATTTTTACAACTATGTCTGCATCATTCTGACATCACAGAAGAGGATTGATAGGGGGCAACCTTAGTCACTTCAAAATCTCTTTACCCTCACTAACACCTGCTTCATAGTTTATATCACAAGACTTTCGTCTTGATAATATTTATTGATAGCAGGGAAGGGAAAATATGACAGACAAGAATGTTATCTTCGCATGTGAGATTGCACTAAATTTGAAGTTGGTGATGTCATTCCAGGCATGGATGAGATCATGAGACGCGTGAGAGGAGGCTGTCGGAAAAGACTTTGGGGGAGATCCCTCAAACTTAAAATCAATGACTGCGGCTTAAATAAAACTTCATGCTGGTCTGAACACTTCTGACAGCCGGACACTCAAATGTTCAATCTATATTCTGTGTTTGCGAGATCTGTCATCTTTCTAAAAGCCGACAATGAACATACAAAGTTGAATTCCAAAATGGTTGCAGAGGTTGTTGTTGCACTGTTGGCTGTTGTCATGTCCCCCCAGTGCCTGTAGTTGTGCTGTAAGAAGCCTCGCATCCGATGACTAAACCAACACCCCCTTCTCCTTGTGTACGGCTAGTTTTATTTCAATAATCGACAAAGATGTGCCAGTAGGATTCGTATAAAATTAAATCCACGCGTTAAAAAACTAAATTTGCTAGCGTAAAGCGGAAAGGTAGAGGCGGAAAATCCCCGTTGAAAGTAATAGCCGTCGACCATACGAAAAGATCAGCGTAGCTTGTTTAGCATAGGCCGCAGCGATCGGGGACTCAGCAGCTGCCGGGAAGCAACGGACTCAAGCAAAGGCGGAAGCCCGCTTATCACGCACTGCAAGACGGGTGCCTCGTTACTCGACTCGGGGGATTCGGGAGGTTTCACAGGCCAACGGTAACTACGAATTGCGCAGAAATAAAGGAATACTTGAAGTCACAAAATGTATCTGATATCAGTTTTTCTTGCAATATTATAACAACTTAACCCCGTGAAACTAATCTAAATATACCTGATAAATAATACTCCGAAACTTTAAAACGTCCCAGGTCATCGACAACGCGTATTTTCGTATGACAGGTATTTTGCCTATGATCGGTCCCGAGTCTATCCCGCGCTTAAACAAATATTCCAACGACCGTTACAAAGTTTCAAAATGCGTTCGAAATATTTGTACGACGCAACAAAGAAATAGATTCTGCCGCGCTGATTCTGATCGTATCTTTCGTGAAAAGATTTAAATTGTTACTTAAGCGCTACACACCCAACTTGCTCAATCCTTGCCTCAAAAGTAACTGATAGTGCTGCCCAAGTACATGATATAGTAGGCGGGTTGTCCACCGTCCCCTTGCGTTTTCAAAGTTGCTTTGCATGTCAAACGTATTGTACTCTGCCCAAACACTTTTATGAGCCAACGTTTTATGATTTAGTGCTTCACCTGCTTAAAGCTCTGCTTACAGCAGCTGTTTTTCTGATGTGTCATTGATTGCTTAAAATAGGGGCTACTTTTCCTGCTTCCTGTCACTTTAATATTTAATGGTTTGAGCTGTTTATGCTGAACAGCCTACATGCTGCATGCTTTGATGAGTGCTTTGAAATGCAGTTCAGATTTGTTCGATGTTAGAGGTGACTGCAACATATATTGAAAGCTACTTTAAATTCGATGTGACTTGACCTGCAGATAAGCAAGCTTGTCATTATTATATCCATGCTTTTATTATATAGATGCATTTTTACAAGCCATCGTTTTATGATTTAGTGCTTCACCTGCTTAAAGCTCTGCTTACAGCAGCTGTTTTTCTGATGTGTCATTGATTGCTTAAAATAGGGGCTACTTTTCCTGCTTCCTGTCACTTTAATATTTAATGGTTTGAGCCGTTTATGCTGAACAGCCTACATACTGCATGCATCGATGAGTGCTTTGAAATGCAGAGTTCAGATTTGTTAGATGTTAGAGGTGACTGCAACATATATTGAAAGCTACTTTAAATTCGATGTGACTTGACCTGCAGATAAGCAAGCTTGTCATTATTATGTTCCTGGTTTTATTATAGCTGTTCGACTGTTTTGTATGCATTGTTGAGTGCTAGAAACTCCATGAAGGAGCACAATAATAATGGAAGAGCTCAGAGCTTTGATTTCTGTGCTCTTCAAATGTGAACTATCATTAGGTCTCTGCAGACTATACAGTTTAGGGCAGCCGCAGGGTAACTGTAGCTGCCTGTAATTGAGATTAATAAAATGAATATTACAGGAAAGGCTGGAATTTTAAAACACTAGGCATCATACACTTGCCGACATTGTAAATGGTTACAGAGAAAAACTTAGCAGCACCGTATACTGAACAACTAAGGATCACCCTATACCACAAAACACAACAAACCCACCCAGAAACATGTGCCTCGTTGCTCAGAGATGCCTGACAAATCAAAACAATATGTGTTGTAAAATCGTCTCAAAATATCAAACATGTTTGATATCCTCCAATTGGATAGAATTATAGTCTGAAACAGAGTCTGTTCCATAATAGACTATGTGATTTGCTTTGAAATCTGTCAACGCCGACTGCCCAATATCTGCAGACTGGCTCTGACTTTCGGCAATGAGAGTCAGCTTGTCCAGACTGCAAATTGAGGCAAAAACTTGGGCAAAAGTCACGTAGTGTATTTCAACCCTAAAAGTATAATGCATTTTATGCATGGTAAAAAAGTCAACTCAATAGATACATTTTAAAATAGAATTTAAAAAATATATATATATATACATAACATTATATACATTTGAAATCTAATTAGAATTGTAAATGCAAGGCACATTTTCAGTTTTGAGTAAAAAAAAAAAATGAATGTCTCATTCAACAGTTGTTGTTCCTGCACTCCAAAAGAAGCTGAATTGACTCAATGCTTTCGTCACACTTTTGTCTCATTCACATAACATTTTTTCATCAGCTGATGTTCCGGAGAGTTCCAGCCCTGGGATGTATGAAGGCAAACACATCCACTACTCGGAGGTGGACCACAAGCCTCTGTGTTCATATAGCCCAAAGCTTTGCAAGCAACGCCGGCTCAACGGTTATGCTTTCTGCATCCGCCATGTGCTTGAGGACCGGACCGCTCCTTTCAGACAGTGCGAATATGTAGCCAAGTACAATAGCCAGCGCTGCACCAATCCAATACCCAAGGCTCACGACCGAAAGTAGGTTTTTGGATTAACAATTGTTTAAAGAAAATAATGTGCATGTTTAAAGAATACTGAAAAAAACCTGTTTATCTTTTAGGTATTGTAATAGTCACCTTCAGGTTATGGGTGTCCTCCCCAAGAAGGAGCGAAAGAAGAAACAAGATACAATAGAGTCTTTGGCCCTCAACATTACCGTTCCATCATGTTAAAACCTAGTGGCACATTCCTGAAGAAGCCCCAAGAAAACCAAGCTCTGAACCATAAGCAGAAACAGCAAGATCACAGTGTGGATCCAGCCTTCCCAAACCATTTCAACACCTCGTCTCTTTCTTCAACTCTTCCACGTCCTTGCCTCCCTCCTCCCCAGACTGGAAGAACCTCACAGACACCCAAAGTTCCCTCCTCCCCTCGTGCAGAAATCTTACAAACCCCTGCAGTTCGTTCAGGTTCATTATTCAAAACCTCATCAACTCTTCAGGACAGCTGCCAGGGCTCAATAGAAACGACTCCAGCTGATAACAAAATTAAACTGGACCTTAATCATGCTTTTGACAAAAAGGTTGGCTCTGCAGCTTCAGGGACAGCATCGAGCCGTGATGACATACATAGACGTTTAATAAAAATGCACTCAGTTGCCATGCAACAACAAGCTCCATGTTTGCAGAAGTTCCATAGATTGATGGTCCAACACAGGGGCAGGTACCAAGACCTGAACACACATTTAGGTAGGTAATTGTGACCTGAGATTTTGACATTTAACAGTTAATTTAGCTTTAGTTTGTTTTCATGACAAACACAGCTTGTGTTCTAGGGCTTGTCTGGTCAGAAGACAGTGAAGAGGAAGATGGAGACTTGTGGAAACTAGTGTCACATCAGTGCCAGAGACTACAAGAGAAGCACTCTGAGGAAAGGTACAGTCATCCATTAGTCCGACAGTCATCCATACACCAAACACAATGATTGCTAAACTGCAACTTGCTTTACTTCATGGCTTCTTTCTCATGTAATAGAATAATCTATTCTCAAATCAGTATTCCTCCTTTCTCACAACTGGGACAAAAATGGGACAAACATTGAATGGACCTTCAATGAAGGCCCTTTTCCAGGTCTTCTTCAAAAAAGAAGAAATAAATTGATAATATTTAATAAAATAATAAATATCTTGATTTTTGCTTGTTTTAGCTTATTTTAATGCTTGTTTTGTCTTCTTATAAATCATTCAGGAAAAACGTCCTTGGTCTGTGACATACATAATCTAAATACAAGTTATGACAAGCAACAAACTTGTTTTTTTGAACTTGAGAAGTTCTGTTTTCATATTTCTGGCACTGCATGAATGCTTACACTCTGTGACCCAACAGTGGATTGCAACCCACTGTTTGAAAACTGCTGATCTAGAGAATTCTCTTTGCCATCTCACAGTGCCAGCAGTTCCCGTGCCGAGCGTTTGGCAGGCTTCTGCTCATACCTGAGACAAAAACACACGCACCTTTGCAGAGAGCAGAGGGGCTTCAGGAGGGAGAGGAGATCCCAGCATACCCTTCGTAAAGCCCTGCTGCAGGCAGCAAGAGAAGAACCTCACCACACTGCACAGCTTATTCAGGAACAATATAAAAAGACCTCCACACCCTCCAGGTAAAAACACACACTTGTGCATTAAGGGTATAAATAAACAATACATCGATATGATGGATATAATGACTAACAATATGATGTATTGCTGCAATCCGAAAGAAATTGCTAATATTTTTAAGATGCACATTCATTTTCTGTATAAATGTTTTTTCAACAACTGGAGGGCCTCATTTTGTTGTGTATGTCATATTGGAGATACTAGATTTGCAGAAAGACTTTCTTGACTTGTCATTGTTTATTTTATTGCACAAGCCACTGATGAGCTCACATCGCACAAGTGATCATCTCATGTGCAACTTTTTTTCTTTTTTTTCTCCATTATTTATTATTTATATTTTTCTAAATTATGAAAAAAAAATGTAAATGTATTTTTTTGTTGTAGATTTCCCAATTGAGATACAGGATTTGCATTTTTCAAAGAGTTCAATTAATTGCTCATACTGTACTTTGGTTTCTTTTGTGAGTTAATAAAAATGTTACGGCACAAAATAGCACATAATATCTTAATCTAGATATATTAGTTGCATATATTAGTTGAATCTTATCGAATCATAATGGTATTGTGGAAATTTTTGACGTATCAGTAAGTATTATGGTCTTAGAGAATCAATATCAGATCATATTGTGATGAAACACTTATATCATTGCATAAGCCAGTGATGAGCCTTCATCGGACAACTGATGATCTCATGTGTGACTTATTTTTTCCTTGTTTATTTATATATATATATTTTTTAAGTGATTAAAAAAAAAAAAAAAAAATTCTGTAAATGTCCCAAGTGAGATTTTCAGAGAGTTAAATTAAATGTTGAAGTAATATTTTGGTTGCATTTTGAGTTAATAAAATATAACTGCTTATGTATAATAGGCACATAATATCTTAATATTGAAATTGTAGGCCCTTGAATTTGATCAAAAGTTTTATAAATATTGTATAACTGGTTAAGAGAATCAATGTCAGATCATATCGTAATGAAACATCTGATTTATACCCCTAATGTGCATTCGATATTCACTTCATTTTGTACGTTTTCATGTTGCAGTAGTGGTTTCCTATGTGTTTTGATTCCACAGCACTGCAGTGCCATTGTCTGGAGATGACTCAGGGTTGTGTTCGGCTGTCGTGAAAGGTGAAAACTGCAGAAATTCAGCCTTACCGTTCACTAGGCACTGCTTTCAGCGTATCCTCTCAAAGTTCTTACTCTTTGAATTAGTCAGAACTCAACTCAAATGTACCTGTAAAACATAAGCTGGCTGCTTTTGGCTGTTCGTCTGTATTTCAGAACAATTTGTCCTGTGACTTTTCAACAGACCATCTGCTTTGGTGATAGACTAAATGTTTACGATTGTCTGTGTTCCCTGTGTTGTGTCCTTAATGGCACTCTGTAGATATCCTTCAGAACCGTTCACAGCAGCTGTTCTCAAGCTGCACCGCTCGCTTTGCAGATGGAGCTCAGTGTTCCATCCCTGTCTTTGACATCACGCACCAGACGCCACTTTGTGATGAGCATGCCAAGAAAATGGTGAGAAACAGAAGACGTTTCATTGCGTAAAAAACTTTTGCTAGTGACTAATTTAACCTTGTGTCGTGTGCTAATGGTGCTTTACAGGACAATTTCCTTCGAGGTGATATCAGCCGGAGAACGTACCACCACCACCAGCAGATTCAGCGGCACAGACCACTGAAGAAAGCTAAGCCTCCAGCACTCACTAAGAAGCATAAGAAGAAAGGAAAGCGAGGAGCACCAAGGCGCCCTCAGAAACCCATTCCTCCCGCGCAGCCCCAGGGTAACCTGGGATTGCCTTCCATCTTGTGTCTGCCCACTCAGCCCTCTGGCATAAGGTGAGAGCCGAGTGTGTTTGAATGTGTGTATCCGTGTGTCTGTAAGTGTGCACTGCACTCATCATCTTTGTGTTTTGCAGGAGCCCTTTAACTCCTGATTTAAGTGCTGATGAATTTCCAGATGACATCACCAATGACATCAGCGACATTCCACATGACCTGGAGTTGAATCAGGAGGATTTCTCAGATGTTCTTCCTCGACTCCCGGATGACCTGCAGGACTTTGATCTTTTTGAAGGTAATAGTTTTAATGGTAAGATTTTTCAAAAGAAGTGTCCTATGTTCACCAGGGCTGCATTTATTCGATCAAAAATAGAGTAATATTGTGTCATATTTTTACAATTTAAAGTAGCCATTTTTTATTTCAATATATTTTAAAATATAATTTATTCTTGTGATGGAAAAGTTGAATTTTCAGCAGCCACTACTCCAGTCTTCAGTGTCACATGATATTTCAGAAATCATGTTGATTTGATGCTCAGGAAATTTCTTATTATCAATGGTGAAAACAGTTGTGCTGCTTAATATTTTTGTGGAAGCAATTATAGTTTTTTTTAGGATTTTTTGATGAATGGGAATAGGTAGCGTTGTACAGTAAGGTTCCATTAGTTAATGTTAATTAATGTATTAACTAACATGAACAAACCATGAACAGTACATTTATTACAGTATTTATTCATCTTTGTTAATATTAATGAAAATACAGTCGTTCATTGTTAGTTCATGTTAGTTCACAGCACATTAACTAATCTTAACAAGCGCAGCTTTTGATTTTAATAATGCATTAGTAAATGTTGAAATTAACTAGATTAACAGATGCTGTATAAGTATAGTTCATGCTTAGTTCATGTTAAAGGTGCAATAGGAGATCTTGGAAAATGCTAACTTTAGCCTGATAGCACTGAAAGCGAACGTCCCACCCTCCCTGCAATCGCCGTCCAAAGCCACGCCCCCTGAACGCATTTACACTCACAGACCAGAGACAACATTACTACAATAGGCTACATCAGGTTCCCAATTCCAGCCCATGTTCCGAAGTGAAGTAAACTTCAACGGATTTAATGTGGAGACTTTCAACCAGCATAACAAAAAATGTTTCTGAAGACAATCACCTATTGCACCTTTAACTAAAGTAGTTAACTAATGAACCTTACTGTGAAGTGTTACCTGAATATCTTAATTGCCACTGCTTTTGATTAGTTCAGTGTGTCCTTTCTGGATAAAAGACTTCTTTTTAAGGCTCCATATTTTAAGGTTTGACTGCAAACATAATAAATAAGATGTCTTTTGCTGTGGGGCTGCAGGAAACACTGGCATATAGTAAAACTTTGACGTTGGAATTTTAAGAATTGATATCTAATTGGAAAATTTATATTTTTTACCCAACCTTATATAATATCTGTTTTTATATTGTTTTCTGGTAATACTTACTTTCCTTGCTTTGTCGATCTGTTTACAGTAATTTGGTATTCTATAATTCATGTTTGTTTGTCATGTAGGCAAGAATAGTGAGCTGTTGCCCACCTCTGAGGAAGCCGAAGAATTGGTTCGCGTTCTGCAGGCCATGGGCTCATACCCAGAATCCCTTGCATGTCTAAGCGGAATGGCTGAGCTTGGTCCCGTAGAAGCGATAGATTGTCGTAGCATGTCGGGGGGAGTTGTGGATCTACTGAGTGGACGGCTATCTGCTGAGACTCTCTCCAGCCTGGAGCTGGACCCCAGTCTGCTCCCCACCTCTGAAGATGCTTTCCCCCCATCACCTCCATCACCACAACCCCCTCTCACTCCTCCATCCTCTGTGGGGCAACTCACAGACAGCACATACCCACAGAGACAACCTCATTTCGTAGCGAAGATGGATAACTCCAAAGTGAATCTGAGCAATCTGCCGCTTGGAAAGGACGAGGACATCTCTCATGGCTCCTGGGGCATTCTCGCCCTCTCCCTCAACAACTCCTCTCAATTTCACAGCCTTATTGCTTCGGATGGCCTGCTGATGTCCACAGCCCTCTCAACGCCAATGACCCCCGTGTCCTCGGCCCTCTGTCAGCCCAGTTCGGCCCTCTCCGCTTTGCCTCAGACTGTGCCTGTCACTCGCTCCATACCCACATCCTCGCCCTCCTCACCAACATCCCAAACTAAGCACCTTCTCTCCCCACTGTTCAACCACTGTGGGATCCCAGCAGACTTGCAGCCGCACCACAGTACACCGGCGCCACCTATGGACCAGGCCTGAACTGCAGGCAGAACCAATTTGCTACAGTCAGTGTTCAGGGAACATGTTGCAGGTGATTTTTTTCTCCCCCACCAAATGTCAGGGTCATTCTGTCCATCTTCTCAGCCCTCTGCATCGTTTTCCCTCAACAAGAAAGAACATCAAGCAATAAATTTCCTTGTCTGCTTAAAAATAGTTGCTTTTTTCGAAAAGCAAACATAGATGGATTTTAGCCATTAATATCACTTGTATCCTTAAATGCATATTTAATATATTTATAGAGTAGCAGTCTGCACAACTAGTTTTATTGAAAATGTGTGGTAACTGGTGAAAATGTGGTTCTTGCTTAGCGGTAATGGACAAGTTTGTCAGTGGCAAACACAAGGGGAAAGGTGTCATGGTTGTATCACTATTTTGTCCCATGTAATGATTAAAAAACTTATTGTTTTGGCAGATGGTGTTTATGTGCTTTTAGTAGCCGTTAAACTATGGGGTCTTGCTCTGAGTGTAAGTGCCTGCCATAAAAGCTGTGTTACACCTTTATAATCAGTGTATTGCAAATCAACAAAATACACATTGCATTGTCACTAAGTAAAAATCTGTAAATGCACAAAATTTCACTCTTGAAAACATGAAAAATTGCATTTACTCCCTGTTTTTGACAAGTAATTACCTTCTCACGTTACCGTAAAGTTACTTGAGGGTGTTAAACTTCGATTCCGAGTGTTCAATGTGCTCCTGTGTAAGGCCTTTAGCTGAAGTGATAGCAGTTGTGGGAAATAAATGGTGTAAAGCTATAGTTATCTTGTTATGGCTTTTAAAGAGAGTAGTTATGATGCCTTTACCCTCATGTCATGCCAAGTCTACATTTGCATTTTCCTGTGTATCTTTGTTGCAGATGCTTTTTTACCAAAGTGGCTTACAAGAAAGCCTCTTTTTATGTCCACATCAGAAAATATCTATATATCAGTATATCTAACTGACCAATATAATGAAATTGTGTTTGGGCAGTTAAGCTTTTAAAGAGAACAATGACGTATAACCTTAATTCGGTATCTTTATAAAACGGATAATGGTATAAAATTGTGGTTTGGTAGACTTGCCGTTGTACCAGATAATGCTGCTTTTACCAACAGGCATACTGACAGAAATCCTTGCACACCGAGGGTTGTCTCGTATACTTTTTATACTTATTCACTGAATGTATCAAGTCAACGAAAAAGTTTATTATAACCTATTAAAATGGTATGGTCCTCTTCTTTGTTCAAGGTATTTTTATGTATTGACACGTTTACTTTTTGTTACTTAAGTGCTTGGATGTGGGTGTGTGTGTAGACAATGTGTAAGAGAAATTATATTTGTTTTATTTGAAATGTGTGAAATAAAACTGCTATGACCACGACTTTGTGTGCACTCATTATTTCAGTGTGCTGTCAACAGCAATTTGCGAGTTTTGTGTTGCAAAGAAGACACTGATAGCACTACAAGACTGCAATATCTGGATTAAACTAAAAAGTACCAGGCACAGAGATGATTCATAATGTATAGGACCTTTGGCTGGCTTTCTAAACAGATTGTAATTGCAAACTAGGAGCTGTTAAATTGTAATATTTTAACAACTGATTTAACAGTGGACTTCTACCTTGTCGAAGTGAATATTACTTGAAAAAAGGCAGAGGGCGCCAAAGGAATTATAATGTGGATAGTCTTCTGCAATGAGGATATTAGAGATGGGAATTTTGATTCATCCCAGTGACTCGAATCTTTTGTTAGTTAACAAAAAAGATTAGTTTGTTCTGTGCGGACTATATTATATCTTTTATCAAATAAACACAAATGTCTTTTTGTCTGTTGAATGACTTCCGCAAATTCGAGAAATGACCACAAAGAACTATTTTTGTTTCATTTTGTCGACTTTTAGAGTAGGCTACACAAACGGTGCCGTGCTAGTTTCGTTCACGAACGAACTGTGCTTCAGTTCCGAACGAGATCACCTTGTTCAGTTCCGTTCCCATTCTCGTTCAGAGAACAACTAATCGTTCAGTCAAGGGGAAGGGGTGTATGTATTCGTTCAGCAGGTCAAACCAATGAAGTTCGTAATTGATCGCTATTTGCTCGTCAATCTTGAGGCGTAGGGGCGAGCTTTTTTAATGGGGCACGAGCCCCAGACAGTTAAATATTACTGATAAATAAATATCATTATCATTATACATGATATCCATTACACCGACCTGAGAATAATTTCCCCTTGTATTTAAGCAATAATGCCCTGTTTAGAATCAGAACTAAATGCAGGGGTCGCGAATGAATCACTCTTTTAATCATGCAAACGACTCGTTCGCGATTCAGTTTGATTCATTCGGGTAGTTCATTCACGCAGCAGTTTCTCACACATAACAAGAAGAAGAAAAAAAGATTTATAACCATAAAAGTATATATAAAAAAGATATATGGGGACACTTTTTGACCGACAGGGGGGCAGCAGGCTGTTAGGCTAGAAACGCTGTTAAAACGATTCGTTCAAAACTACGGACTCGTTCACGAACGAAATGCTGCTAGTGTATATGACAAGTTGGAGTGAAATACACGATTCTGTCTGATATAGCAGAGATACGAAACGAGGTATTCAGTGTATCTTCCCACCGCTCGAAATTAGTCTGCACATGTAACATGAAACAAGCGTTTAAGGATAACGACCATAGGCGTAGCTTGACGTTTGAGGGGGCGGGGGCAAACCGAACCGGTGGATTTGGTCAGACGTACTTTTAAACACCGGGGCTCTGGCGTTACCTAGCAACGGCCCCCATACTGTACTCCCGCTCCAAGTGCCTGGCTGGCTGCCTTCAACTCCGGCGCAGTTTCTATTTCTGTTGTAGCGTTGCAGTCGCCGTCTGCTAAAACATTCATAGCATGTGGCTTCTGCGGTAATGTTTCAGTTTGAAGCACTACCCTACCCAACGCGCCGCAGAGTGATACTGACAAATGGCGCGTCAAATGATGGGTGACAGACCAGTTAATCACGGGCTGCCGTCTCTGGGGACGCGCTGATTGAGTCTGATGTAATGGATGTTATTATGGCCAGTGACATGACAACTGCGACCTCATGCACAGACGTGTTTCCCACATAACAATTGATAAAGCAGGTGGCGAGAAAATGTGATAACGGCGGTTTCTCTCACGCTTTTGGTGAGGGGAACAAGCAGAGCTGAAGAGGGATGGAGAGACTGGCAGAGGGAAATGGCAGTTGCATAAACTGTCACAGTGATGAGATTGTATCATTATGGCTCCAGATATGCCAGGGCTGCCGTTAGGCCATGACAAGGTTTAACGCCCCCATGATTCCACATGAACAGCTTCTACAAGCGCAATCGTGTGTAAGTATCAAAGTGGTCCAGTGCACAATGGTGCATCGCACGTATCTGTTAGCGTCAAGGCCTCTTGACCTGCAGGCACCGAGGTAAACTGCTGGAGCGAACACATTTCACAATGCCTCAGAAAATGGATTGTCCTTAACACCCCCACAGTTCTTTCAGTCCAATAACCAAATGTTTTTTTAGCTGTTCATCAGCCTCTACGTTGCTGTTGTTATAGGCTAGCCAAAGTGTGGGTTCACGTCTTGTGAATTGCTAATATTTTGATGAGACCTCTTTTCAAAAACTGAGACCTGTAACCTTTTTAATAAGTTTAAAGGGATAATCCATCCATGAAAATTCTATCATCATTTACTCACCCTCATGTCGTTCCAAACCTGGACATTTTTAAAAAGCAGCTGAAAACACTTGTTCAAACTCGCTTTTGTCTAATCTGTTCTTTTAATTGTTATGTCTATTTTTAATCTTTTTTTTTTACAATTTTGATGTAAAGCACTTTGTGACACTTGCTCTTGAAAGGTGCTATAGAAATAAACATTACTTACTTACTTACTGTATGACTT